TTTGAGCTGTGAAACTTACTACTGCTCTTTGCTCTGAAAACACATGACATACAAGAACTTTGCCTAAATGATTAATGATCTGACCATAGGAAATACATTTGCATGACATTAACACTATCAATTTGGCCTTTCTGTACTTGAACAGTTTGTGCTATGGGCATGTTTATGTTGTACAGAAAAAATGTGGTCTGATACACTGCTCCTAACTGTTGACAATATTTATATATAAATATTCCCCAAAAAATGACAGTTTGTTTCTCAGCTGATAATCATTGTCATAATTGTCGTGTAGTTTGGTTTTAGAGGCTTGTTTGGCACGAGTGTTGATGATTGAAATGTAGTATTTTTCATTATCATGCCAGACTGACTCAGAGGATGAAGAAGAAGTGTTTGATTCCAGTAAGGAAAGCGTAGAGCTGTATTGTGCTCATGCTCGGGAGAAGCTGACCAATAGTATTCGCCTCCAGTGGAGAAAACTCAAGAGCCACATGGAAAGACTGGACAGCCAAGGTAGAGGTCACACTACTTTTAGAGACAACTATGTGATTCCTCTTTAACCACTGATTTAGCAAAAGAAAATAATCTGTCAGAGGAACCAAAGTACTCTTACATGATATAATAACAGATGGATGTAAACATGGTTGTAAAGTTTTAATTTCTGGTTTTGTTTGTGCAGCTTCTTTGGCACAGATGAGTGAGAGTAAAAACACTGATGCTGTTGCACAAGAGACTCAGGAGGAGGAGATGGACAGACTGAAGCTGGAGATCCACCAGTGCAAAGACTTTATTCAAACACAACAGCAGCTGCTGCAGGTATGAATGAATTCACATTAAAATCTTTGGGATTTGTTCACATTTGCCATTTGCAAAAGTAAAAGTGACATAGTGGAAACAAAGCGGCATAACATATATGTTGCTTAATAAATTGTGGCTGGACCACATCATACCTGTTTTCTGTTCCTGCAGCAGCAGATCAGCTCTCCTTGTGATGAGGAGACGGGTTCTTTGCTGAGTGACTGCTACGTGTCTCAGGGGAAAGAGCGTCTCAGAGAGGAGTGGAAGACCTTAGAGGAACAGAGGAAGATCTTTGAGAGGGAGAGGAGAAACTTTACAGAAGCAGCCATAAGACTGAGCCTTGAGGTGATTTGTGACATAAATTGGCAAAATGAACAGAATAAAAGTCAGGAATTATTCTATATTTTCATTCTGTGTATAAAACTCTTGTGTGCTATATCATTCTATGGAGTGTTTTGACTTCTTTTGTGTTGACTTGTATCTGGTTTGATTTGTAGAGGAAGACCTTCGAGGAGGATCGTGCAACATGGCTCAAACACCAGTTTTTAAACTTGAGTCCGTTTGCAGAAACAAAGAAACCCCCGATGTCAAAGTCTAAAAGTGCCTTTTTAATATGTGAGTGTTTAGTCTAAAACGTCTGCTCTGTTGGTCAAGTTTTTCCAGGTGTCCCTGTTTACTTTGGAACACAAGCTCAGATGACATTCAGTTCACATTTAAAAACAAAACCTTTTGTAGTGATCGTGGTGTGGAGCCACGTAATCCTGCCGATATACACCCTCAACCATTCAGGAGTCAGCCTCAGCTGTCAATCAGAACATTTCACTCAGTTCAAATAGCCTTAAATTATTAATTATAAAAACAAACTTGAAAAACAACAGTGTGATAAGAACTTCTTAAAATGACAGAAATCATCTTTGAGAAAAATCTTTGTTTGGTCTGTGTCCCATCCACACACACTTAGGAGGCAGGGTTTATGATCTATACTGCAGCCAGCCACCATGGGGCGATCAAGATTATTTGGCTTTACTTTTCAGGAGATGTCATGTCGTCCATCTTTACATGCAGTCTATACGTTTATCAGTATGAGGTAACAATAATTTCCAATTTCAGATACTAATAAAGGTTTCATATTATTTTAGCAGCTGAATCGGAGGGGAGTGCAGCCTTATCCCCGGAAAAGCTTGTCAAATGCCAGTCTGACACAACCTCCCCCACACACAGATGTTTCTCATTCACATCACCATCCACAGACGACTTGTGTCGCACCCTTCGCCTCATCCCAGAAATCAGGTACAGTGTCTTTATTTGCACATGGACTGAAATAGTACAAATCATAATGCACCTTCAAATGAATGCAGTTAAATGTCTCTCTGTGAAATTTGATTTCCAGCTCAACCAGACCAAAGACTGAGCGTGTTGAAGAATCAAACATCTTTTGCAATGGAACTGATCCAGTTCAGCACAAGTGGTGGAACAACAGTAAAGATCCTCACACAGGAAATGAACAGCTCTGTGACACGCCAAAAAGTCTTATCATCTGAATCACGGTTTATGTGAATTTGCTCTGAACAAACTCAAAGGAGTTGCGTTCCAAGTCTGTAGTTCTGTGTGACAAAGAGAAAATAGTAGTTTAAATGTTTCTTTTGTACAAGCTCACAGTTTTATCGTTAGAATTTATGATGTATGTATTGATTTATTTACTTTGAACTGCTAAACTTGCTTTGGGAGTCATATCTCACATCGATTCCTTAGACTTAAGGTAACATGTTTTAGAAATGCTGGGTCTGCAACAAAAGATTTTGCTAGCTGTACATATCAGTTTATGCTGCACCTACAAATTGGCATTTATATCAATTTATAACTAATGTTATGTTAAATCTGGTGTTAGGGACATTACATATGAACGTCCTTTGAATCTGGCGTCATCCTGTCCCCGTCCATGCGGGTAATAATGCGTTTTACCTCAGCCAGTAATGAATGGTTTGCCACAGCAGTGTTATTTCAGTGCCTGTGGCTGAAGAGAGGTATCTAACTGTCCAGATAAAAAAAGAAACTCAATGTGCAAAGGAAGGATTACAATCTAATAATTTACAATAAGGACAAACGGAACACTCATATGGCTTTTCCTCATTGGAGAGCACTGTTTGTTAATTACTCCCAATGCCTGAGGGGGAAGACAAAAGTTCTGCACTGCAGGTTTAAGCGTGTCGACTGTAACAGAGTGAGAATGTAACTTTAATGCTGTTTATATTTTACAACAAACTGTAAAATATGAATTATGTGTCTGTGGTTTTATAATAGAAATGTGGCTGATTAACAACATTGCTTTCTTGTACATGTTTAAGCCACATTAATAACGTGATGTATCATGTGAGTTAAAATTGAACACAGATTATATAGTTTGTTTTAGATATTGAAGGTAGGTCACTTCAATGTGAATATTAATGTGAGTTCCTTTCACCAGTTTTTAATGAGCTTTTTAGCTGTATCAAGAAGATGGAAAGACATAAATGCTGCAAACAGTTTTACAAATCCAACATACATGTAGCAACACAACAAAACCTTTTTTTTAAAGATTCAACAGTTTATTTGAGGTCTTATTCAAAACACACATCATTGACTAGCAGAAGTAAGTGTTATTAGGCACACTGAGCAGTACAGCTGCAGGCCAGGTGAGCTTCTGCTGTTTCCCTCAGGTCCACGCTGTTATCAAACATGTTGTGAAGACTCACGGCAGAATCTGCACAAGTGAAGGGAGAGGAGCAAGTTAGGAACTCGGAAGGACTTTTTACCTCATTGTCACATTCTATCACATAAACCTGGGGCACTCACTGGCAGGTTGGCAGTGGAAGCCAACGGTAACGGCTGTGGTCTTCACAGGGAAGCAGCCGGGCAGACAGCGCAGCACAGGCTCAACAGAGAAGCATTTTGATTCCTGCTCGTGGATGTTGACCTGTTTGTCAAGCTGCACAGATTCACGCTTCATATGACACTCTGTAAGAGAAAGCACGAGTTAGCTTCTGATGGATTTCACGTATCCTCACTTGGGTAACAGACTTGATTTAAGTAATGTTGCTCTAGAGATCATTCTTTGGTGAACTGTGTATCTCACCCGTGGTGTCTCTGCAACTCTCGGCTGGCAGAACCCAGGAATGAGCGTAGCTGACAGCATCCTTGGTCAAGCGTCCATTTGGTGTGCGATACTCCTGTTGGACTTCCCCATCAGCCTTTCCACAGAGTCCACAGGTCTGTCCCTTCATCCAGTCCACAACTTTAACCTGCATGGGCAAATCAGATCACATATTACAGTCACTCACTGATATATACTATATAATGTACACCTACATGCTTAAATGTAATGTCCATATTTACTGTTGCATTTACCTTCCATGAGTTTCTGTCAAAGTACACTTCATGAAGACCCAGGCTGGGAGCAAACACAGATATTCCTTCATCCTTTGGTCTAATCTGGATTTTAGCTGTAAGACAAAAACATTTTTTATCATCATTTACTTCAGGGGATTTAATTGTGTTATATACATATTATGTATCAAAGCTTTCAGACCTAACAGAAATATGGAATTAGTATGAAGTTGTTTTGAAAGTGAAACATGGACAACTTTAGCTTAATTCTACCATCATTTGGTTTGCAATATTAGAAGTCAGCAACTTTGATTGGATAATCAATGTATATAGAAACCTGTGGGATGCTGGTATGGCAGATTGTTGATGGGTATTTCCATTCCATTGACCTTTAAAATCACTTCAGTGTTCTTCGGGTACAGGTCAATATCACTGCAAGGGCATAAATGAAAATGTGAATCAAAACCTTATAATATTACAAAGAGAAGCCCAACTGTTCCTGCAATGAGTGCTGGATACAGCTTAATGATGAAGACTCAAAGTAAAGAAACCTATTTTCTAAGACATGTCCAATGCAAGCGACCCCCTCTCCAAAGGGTTCTGTATTTTCCTAAAGTTCCAACCCCTGGAAGGACTTTTGGGGGGTAAAACTATTTGCCCTGAGCTAAAAATGATCATTGTTGGTTGACGTAAAATGCATAGCTACCTGTGCATCAGTACAGGAATGCCACCACAGATAAAAATAGTTAAAACCCCAGTTTACTGTGAAATACAGAGATAAATACCTGGTGCTGATGAGCTTAATCGAATTGTGTAAACTCATTCAGCAAGAGCTTCAAAACTCACATATCAGCAATCTTCACATTTATATGGTTTTGTTCAATGTTATCCTTCTTCAGCAGAACCATAAATTTCAGCTCCTCTGTGCAATCCTGTGCCAGAACTTGGGAGCAAGACAAAGGAAACTCATTCTTGTATCTCCTGTTGTTGAATGTGGTCAGCGTGTCTCTGGCAAAGCTACATTCAGCTGTGAAAAAATGAAATAGATTTAATCTTTAGCACACAGTCAAAAACAACTGCCAACACATTGGATATCAATAGAGCCATTACCTGCAGCAGCCTTGGCTAAAAAGTAGTGGACTCTGTCAGCAACGTCATTGAAGGGGGTGAGGCCTTTGACGGCATCAAGTGGCAGAGCAATGGGAAGACGCAAAGACAGCTTATAAACACGCTGTGGATAGAATAAGTTGTTATTAGAAATCGTGAATAGCGTGTGCTATGCACCAAGCTGGAGCTGGACCTTTGGTAATGGCATCATGTATCATCATAAATGGAGGAATCTATGTCTATTTTCTCAACCTGATGATTCATACCATTGGTGTTTTCCAAATGAGGTCAAGTTCCCTGTCAGATGTTGCGACCAGAGTAGCGGAGAGCTGGTTGCTGCTCTTTTCTTCCTTTCCTTGAATGAGGCCAGCCAGTGTGGAAGCAGGAATGTAGCTGTACGCCCTTTATAAAGAAATGTCCAAATATCATTTTACATACTCTGTATTCCATGTCAGTGTAATAAAGAAAGTAAAGACAGTTTTTTTACTTCTTTGCATATTGTTTAAGGGCAGAAGGTAGGTTGTTCCAGGCCATTCTGAGGCGAGCTGCTGGTCTTGGTCCAATAAGACCAGTCTCAGCTGTGATCATTGTGTCGTACTGCTTGCATTCAGCTCCCCAGGCTATTTTTGCCTATTGAGAGACGGTATAAGTGGCTATAAGGCAGGTTTAAGGGTATATTTTATGTCGTAGGATTTTCTCTATAAAAGACAAGCAATACAATTCCTTACATTGACTTTGAATTTGCTTAACAGAACTCCATCGGCACATAACTTCCAGTTGTCATCAGCAGCCAAGGCAGCCACAATGAGCTGAATTCTGGAGGTAGGTTTGTCCAGGTAGACAGCCAGTTGGTATCCCAGTATCTTTTTGTCAGCTTTGACAGCACGGAGGATGATAGCAAAGACAGGGGCAGCCTCTTTTCCGAGGAATTCATTCTGTGTGATTAAGCAATGTGGGTTAAGCAATAAGTACCTCAACAAATCTTTTTGTCAAAAGATCATACAAAGGATTTATTTATGCAAAAATGACCAAGATTCACCTTTTTGTAGATAGCCTCAAAGCTTGAAGCACTGCTCCTGCTGGAAAGTGCTGCAGAGGTGGCTTGAGAGAGTTGACTCTACAAAAGTAAATGTATTTCTGTTAATGGGCATCATGAACAAGCTGCAACAGTTTACATAATCAAACTGTAATTTACATTGTCAAGTGTTTGAAGCATCTAAACGTACCTGTTTCTTGTGGTTCTTCTGGAACCTTTGGCGATTCATCACTTGCTGCTAAGCAGAAATATTTGTTTTCAGATGTCATGCTTACAGTGATATACTGTATGTATGCGTTAATTTTCTTCCATGCAACCTCATAACAATAATCTTGCCATTTGATCTTACCTTTGAGAGGTGAGCACTAGAACTAGAGGAACTTGAGCTAGCACTGAAGAGAGAGGCAAGGCTTGATGCAGAGCTGGACTTTGAGGACCTGCTCAGAGACTTGCTGGAACGAGATGAGGAGCTGGAGGAAGAAGACTTTGAAAGAAGGCTGGAGGAGGAGGAGGATGAGGAGGAGGAGGAGGATGAGGACAAGGAGGAGGAGGAGGAGGAGGAGGAGGAGGAGGAGGAGGAGGAGGTCCTGTTCTTCTGACCAGGAGCAAGGATTTTCTTGAGCCTCATCAAGATTGGTCTTTCCTCAACAAGTTCCTCTTCACTCAGATTGATCTGCTTAATGAGCTTCTCTGCAGCCTTTGGTCCAACTTGAATCTCCATCTCCAATTTCACAATCTCTTGACCTTCAACTGAACGTACCATTAAATACTAGAATAAATACTTGCTACATGCATGCTGCTTCTGCAAAAGTGTCTAGTGTCAATACTTACGTGGTGTCAAAGAAAGAGCAATAGAATTCTGTCCTGCCAGTTTGTACAGGACAACGTCCCTGATGAAAGCAGCGTTTTGAGTGGCAACCTTTACACAGCCTTTCAGGCCAATGTTAACAGCTTTAGCACAGTACTTCTTTGCATATTGAGCTGCTTTGGATTTCACAGAGGACTTGGGAGCTGCCACATCCTCGAAAATTATCTCTGAGGATCTTGACTGTGAAAAAAAAAAGATCAATTAATTATATTGTAAATGTAGATACTGTTTAATTATATTGAAATACTTTTTTTAAATCACACCCGACTGGCTGCTGCAGAGGAACTAAGCTTAGATTGACTTGAGATGGGCTGCATGACTTCGGCTGGGACAACAGGAACAATTCTTGCAGCTGCAAGATCCTCAATATTTCTCGCCACAGCAAAAGTCTCAACTCTGTTGAAATAACAAAATTCAATAATATGGACTTTATGATGCATTTTAGCTGTGACATTAGCTTATTTATTGTAGGCAATAAGTTAAAAATGTTAGGCTTACTGCACGGCTGCAATGTGTTCAGGAGCAGAGACGGGCAGAATTTCAAGCTTAAAGTTGCCCTCCTTGATGTCAACTGTTGCAGTAATTTTAGCGGGCAAAATGGAGTTGAGCTTGGCTCTTGATAGCAAAGATGCCTGGAGTATAGCAGTGTTCACCCCCATCACAGCAAATGTGTTCACTGCAATGCTAGAAAGAGAAGACATGTTTGTGTTTCATTATAAAATGTGATATATTTCCTGCTCATTTTATGTTTTGGTGTCAGGTGTTAAACCTACCTTGGTCTGATCTCGGTCTCAAGCTGCATCTCTGTCTTCAGAAGGTGAGCAAGATGGAAGTTTTCAGGCAGAGATGGTGTTGTGATAGCCTTGACTAAGAAAACAAATAAATCCATGTGTCACCTCTTAGCAACACACTCTTAATGCTCTTGGTTCCAATATTAGATGATATTATGTATTAGATATCATTAGTGCTCTAATGAAAACAAACCGCAGTGTTTCCTTTTTTCTTTGAAAAAAGCAATAAATCAGCATCTGCTTTACAGAGTGGTATAGATGATAATATTGGGCTTTATGATATATCTTCAAGGTATTTTAACAGTCAACTCTTATAGTAGTAGTATAGTATATGCAGTTTTACTGTAAGTACTTTTAAACGAGTCAACACCGCCTTTGATTAGCTTACGGGAAGCTATTTTCCTCTGACTGGTGGGACCTGTGCCTTGCGACTGTCGATGTTTTATAACTTCAACTTACTCTGAACAGCTGCAGCTGCCACAGCAGCAGTGTACAGACTGAGTTCCATTGGAAGACCAGCAGCAGTAGGCATTATGCGTCGCACCTCAGTAGCCAACAGAGGCTTAGCAAAGTTGAAGGAAGCACCAGACAGCAGAGCTTGGACAGCATTTCTACCAAGTGCCTGAGCAGATGGTGCAGTGGCGAGCTGAACAAAAATAATTTATTAAAGCTGTAGTGTCTCACAAAATTATGATTGAAGCAATATCTTATGAATTTGAGACATTGTCATTTGAGTCGTACCGAAATGACCTGATCAATCAAGGCTTTGTCAACATTGGCAAAGGCAATTTCCTGTCCAAAGAACTTGACATAGACAGAGGCCAAAGGACTGCGGTTTGGCAGGGACCTCCAGTGAGAGAGCTGTGGACAGAGGAAACGTACAATCACTGTGTTCCATCAGGTGACAATTGGTGATATTCATAACTCAGTGGAGTTTAATTGCTTACAGCCTTAATGATACGCTTCATCTTAGTGATCCTGTCAGCACTGTCAACAACTGCAGGGTTTTTCAGAAGAGCCTCCTGGAGTCCCTCAGTTCTCACTCCAATCTAGGAAAAAATCTACATGTTCAAACAACCTTTCTAAACAGAACATCTTGGTAATGTCTCGAGCTTGGTTTCCATTTCCTCCTACCTCCACAACATCAGCAGCAGCTCCAGCAAGGAAAGCACTGGTCTTAGCCACAACAGATCTGGGCAGAATAGTTGCAGCATCATTGATGTAGAAAGCACTGGCAGCGGCACCGAGCATCAAAGGGCCTGACAGAGAGGTTAACAAGCTCATTTTAAGAACGGCAAAAACAATGTGAGACAGATGCACAAACAGACAAAACATATATATATATATATATATATATATATATATATATATATATGTAAACAAACAAAACTAATCCAATAACTTCAAATGATACTAAAAGTAATTAAAAAAGCCAAAAGGACATTGATGAGATATAAAGGAAAGAGGGTTAGTTAAAAAAACATATCTGAGTGTGGGGTAAACATGGGTCAAACTCATGGTTGTTTGGTTTAGATGAAATAAAGTTATATGACAAAAGTTCAGATAAAACATGAGGTAACTTGTAAAACAGGCCTTACTGCTATAGATGTCTGCATATATAGCTTTACTGAAACGCAAGCTCAGTCTGCCCAGGACTGGATTCAAGATTTTGACAGCCACGTTGCAAGCTTTAGAACTGTGAAGAGAACATAAAAGACCTGAGTAAGCAGGTGAGTTTTTGCAGATTTAGTTGGTGATGAATAGGTTTCAGAGAGTGCTCTTACACAGACTCGTGGATAGCGCTGTTGCTCTTGGTCATAGACTTCATATAGGAGTAAGTGAAGCTTGCTACCTGCAGATTCTCCTCTGCCTTCACAATACTGGCAAGAGTTGTCACCAAACCCACTGGAGGCCTTGTCTCAAACAGCACGATGCATGCAAGCATACGAAGCTCTGGGTGAAGAGCCTTGTCCATGTAGAGCTGAAGAGCCAATTCCTGAACCTAAGTTGCAAGAGAAAGCAAACTCAGTATGGCATCCTCCCAGAAAATGTGTTTAAAATACACTTTGTTATTGAGAGCTCACCATTCTGGGCTCCTTCTTTGCAATGTTCCTCAGGGCCATGATGGCATCAGCGTGGACTCTCATTGGCAGCGATGCAGCTGCAGTGCCATGGATTGGCAGGATCTTTGTAATTGGCTTAAGACTATTAGGATGGCCAGCATTACCCAAAACTTTCAGGAGCAGAATGATATCCTGGGTCTCACCCCTAGCGACAGCCTCTGCAAGGAGCTCCTGAAGGGGCTATGAGGGGAAATGAGAAGTTAGCAAACCCCTTTTCTCTTCCAGAAAAATCTAAGTAAAATGTGGAAACAAGGTTATATCACCTTGATGAGTTCAGCAGGGCAGACAGTCTTCTCAGCACAGTATTTAGAAATCATGGTACCATAGCCAAGAAGCACAATCTCCCTCAGAACTGGCTGCTCCAGTATTTTATTGTTGACAGCCAGACCCTAGAAAACAGCGACTGTCAGAAATGCTTCCTACCTCCATTCTTACTACAGACAAACTAACTTGCATTGAAGATTACCTCAATCAGCTTGATGGACTCAGTGCTTGCTGTCACCATGTGAACAGATGCAACTAAAGCCTGGGCTGCTTCAGCAACTGTGAGCTCATTAGTCAAGTATTTCTCCTTGATGAATTTCAGAGCAGCAGGTGTTCCAATGACAGGGATGGCATCCAAGAGCCACTGTCTGAAAGATGAAAATGAATTGAATTAAACTGCCAACATTTTTTTCAAATATCTTTTTCAAATGTTCAGACAATAAACCTGTAAGCAGGGCGGTTTCTGAATTGGTTCCAGAGCATTTCCAGATCTTCAAATTTGGCTGCACGGAGGACCTGAACCAGCTCCAAAAACTTCAGAGGGGCATCCTCATGGACTCTCTCCACATTGTGGGTCACCAGATGATTCAGAATATCCACAATCTAAGAAAACAGGAATGTAAGGTGAAGTCATTCACGAGTTTCAAACATTTTCAATATTACATTCTAAAGAGACAATACCTGGGCCTGAGCATTGTTGACCTTGATGAGCTGAAGTGGAGTCTGAAGAAGCTCATTGGAGAACTCATACTTGAGAGATCCACGTCGGAGATACTCTGCATCGATGGGCACAATAGGTGCATTCTGAATCTCAAGAAAGACCAAGGATTGCCTTGAAAGTAATGTGAAAACAATTAATCTGCAGCTCTGTGCAATCCAAACACTGCTGTTACAACATTCCTTAGAAAGGATTAGTGACTGTATGTAAAGATCAATGACATGACAGATCACCAAAAGTGAATCCAAAACATCTCAGTTGACCCCTGGTGGCTAGCTGTAGTGTAGATCATAAACTTTGCCCCTTAGTAGATGTGACATGGCCGGAGTAAGAAAATCAAATGACATTTTTTAGGTAGCTTTCATGATGCTGATGTATGTCAACGTGGTTATATATAAGTGTTTGTATATTTTCTGATACTTTTGGTTATAATTAGATATTTGATGCTATATAAAGGGTGTAAAACATAATGACTGATGACAGAAATGGACTTGCTATCAGTTGGACGAGTGTATAAGCAGGACTTAAATACCATTGGTTCTTGTCCTGATAAACACAGCTCAAACTCAGGCTCAAATGATCTCACCAGTGCAAGATATATCCCATATTCAGAATATTTTGCATTCACTCAAAGGAAGTGTAGATGTATCATCTGTTTTTCTATTCAATTGTGAATATGTTTTACACACTTAGTCTCCATCTGAGCAGCTCCATTCATTTCATTAAAAGGTGAGAACTGGATCAGCTCATTGACGGTTGCCTCTTGGATCAGGATGCCATCAGCGAGTGGCTTCAAGATGTAATTGTATGCTGCAGCTCCTTTCAGGTTCTTTGAATCATGTTGAGATGAAACACAGTTACTTGAGCATGCAACACTATCTACTTTCACAGCTGTATGCACGACACAGAATCTGGTGGAACCTACCTGCTGGCACTTGGCACATTTCTCAGTGTATGCCAACCCGATGTCTTTCATGATCTTCTCCTGACAGTTGTCCAGGTCTCTGCTCTTTGTCAAAAGGATGCGTTCAGCTTTGTCATCTTCAGTGATGGCATAGAGGGTCTTGCACACACCCTGAGCTCCAGCCTAATCCGAGGAGCAAATATTTACTACAGAGATTCAACGTCCAGTATTGGATTTATAAGGAGCACCGTGTGGCCTTTGACAAACCTCCTGCAATTCGTAGACATTCTGTGTTTTCTTGATGTTGAGCTGAAGGACATTCAAAATTCCTCTCTGGATGTTCAGCACCAGTGTGGAGATTCCCTCAGGAGCCATCATTTTCCCAACAACCCCATTGATATACTCAAACTTGATGGGAGTCAAGAGCTGAGCTGACAGTGCTGATGTTAGCTTTGCTGCTGGGACTAAAGGATCCTTTGGCCAGATACCGCTGTACTCAAAGAGCTCAGGTTCTACAAGCTACAGTGTAAAAGAAAATTGCTTACAGAGCAGTTTACATTCAAAATATAAAAAGATTGTTACTGACACTTGATTTTGATCTTTACCTTCAGCATGTATATGTTTTGCTCTGCGGCGCTGATGAGAACTTTGCTGCTGACTTTGAGTCCGGCTCTTGCCAAACCTTGCTCTGGCAGACCACTGAGGAGTAATGCCTCATATTTGTACACAAAAGTCTTACCGGCAGCAAAATGCGGAGCTGTATGCACAATATAAGTCAGTGAGAGGAAGTTGTCCATTATAATCAGCATTCAGAGTAATTTATAACATCAT